TTTAATGTGTATAAGAAAGAGCTTTATATATAAAAGCAATTGAATATTGAGAAAACATCCCAGCCCAGTCCAGATCAAATCCATAAGGTCAATATTACCCGTATGTCTGATACTAATCTATAAATTCCTCTTCAGACTCATGAAACAAGTGCAGTGATGCCAAATGCAGGACGATCACAGGCCAGTGGGTGGAAAGTTTTGTAGATCCTGTGGTGGTGTAAGCATCTCAGCACTGGCAAGGGTCTCTGTGTGCCTCCTCCAGCTCCAGGGCACTAGCATAGCTCCACATATTTCCCAGGGAGAGAGCCTGTGTCCAACCTCCAGTGAGCTATTTATCTCCTTAGTGCTTCCAAATGAGGTCCTCAACTTGCAACCTGATTGGCTAAACTCTACCCCTTCACTCTATTTTTTGGTCTTTGAAGTGATGTTTATTTATTTATTTTAAAATCATTTTATTGGGGATTCATACAACTCTTATCACAATCCATCTATACATCCATTGGATGTCAAGCACATTTGTACATTTGTTGCCCTCATCATTCTCAAAACATTTGCTCTCTACTTAAGCCCTTGGTATCAGCTCCTCATTTTTCCCCTCCCTCCCTGTTCCCCCCTCCCTCATTAACCCTTGAGACTTTATAAATTATTAGCATTTTGTCATATCTTACACTGTCCGATGTCTCCCTTCACCCACATCCTTGTCCATCCCCCAGGAAGGAGGTTATATGTAGATCCCTGTAATCAGTTCCCCCTTTCTACCCCATCCCCCCTCCACCCTTCGGTATCACCACTCTCACCACTGGTCCTGAAGGGATTATCTGTCCTGGATTCCCTGTGTTTCCGGTTCCTATCTGCACCAGTGTACATCCTCTGGTCTAGCCGGATTTGTAAGGTAGACTTGGAATCATGATAGTGGGGGGAGGAAGCATTTAAGAACTAGAGGAAAGTTGTATGTTTCATCATTGCTACATTGCACCTTGACTGGCTAATCTCCTCCCTATCTTTTACTTTTAAAGACTTCAGTATGTGTGATTGAAGAAGCACTAAAGGAACAGCTAAGAAAAAAGCAAGAAACTTTGAAGCATTTCCAGAGGCAAGTCAAACACAGAGTAAATCAACAAATTAGGCTGAGAAAAAAGCAACAGCTTCAGAAGTCTTATGAAGCAGTAAGTTGAAAAATGGGCCTAAGTAAAAATTGAATAGAGAGAGAGAGAGAG